GACTTCCGATGTGTGTTTAATTCCATCTATTAGTATTCTTCGGCCGGAAGTGTAAATCCTTGATTATTGAGAAATCGATGTTGACAATGTCTTTTCGGCCCTTAATAAAAGATGTTCCTCTACTCAAAATACCTATAGTTTCTTAAAAGCGTTTGAGAGGTTATCTTCTGACTTTTTGGGAGAAAATCGGGATTTCGGTCGGACGTTCTATAGATTTGTTACAACTGAGTTAAATCTTTTAGTACTATAATTTGGCTGTTTGAGATTTTTGCTTTGTTGAAAAGTTAAAAAGTTTTTTTTATATACTTTTAATTGAATTAATAGGCTTAGAATAAGAAATAAATAGTAATAATTATAAGTTTGTGTTGAAATTTAAAAAGTAGATTTACTGTAATAATTCTGCCCTTCCATATTTGTTTTTATAGATATGTTTTGCCAAATTTTTTTATTAGCAATGCAACTCTGAACCTTTTGATTTTGTTGCTTTTGTTATTTCATATAGTTTAATAGTTGTGAAATTGAATAAAGCTGCCTTTAGTATTATTGAGATTTATTACTATAAAAATAAGAATACTTGATTTGTGTTTATTGGTTTATTCTATCTAGAAATTAATGTTTGTTTGTAAAAATTTTTCAAATGTGTTTTGAAATTGTAAGGTTGGTGTTAGAGTCAGATTGTTGTCTGTATAATATGATAGTAGTATTTGTTAATATTTCTAATTTTACATATAGTAATTAAAAATTGTTGTAAGATTCTGATAGTGGTGTATTATTGTTTCTATCTGTTGTAAAATATAAGTCTGATCATGTTAAATTTGTTTTGAGTTGTTGTGTTGTAAACAGAAGATTGTTTATATAGTAAATAAAAAAAAACTCTTTCTTACTCACACACAATTACTAAATAAGGAAATTTCAATGAAGTGAATATATGAGTTTACAAAGGAGCCTGAGAAGCTCCAATACAGTCAACCAATCAAACTATAATATGACAGACATGTTGAAAAGCAGAAACACCCAGAAAACCAGAGAAATAACATCATACCCAAGCTAAAAACCCACAAAAATACCAACAAATAAAGGGACTAGAACTTCAAACAGCATGGTTGCAACAACTTTAAACAAAGAAAAACAGAAACAGCTAACAATAGTCCAGACTAACACACCCACCTAACAATCTGTAACAGAGTCATGAAGCCAAATGGTAGAAAATGCGTTGACAGAAAAATCTATAAAATCAACAGAGCCATATAGAAATGGAACACTAGCAAAACTGATTGAGGAGAAAAGCACTAAAAGAAAACAAACAGCAATACTAGCATATATAGATGACAGCAATGCTGAGATGAAAACATTAGACCACAAAAACAGTGGGATAGAAAAGTAGAACATCGCAGGAAAAGGTAAAAAGAGAAACAGCAGAACTGCAAATCCAGACCACAATTACCCTTTGACAGAGCAACGAGATATGGTGGACAGTACTACAAAATAGCAATAAAAGCAGCAGAGGTTCCTAGCAACACTATGGGATAGAAAATTCAATTCATCACAAAAGTCTTAAGCAGCCCTTAAGGCCTCTTGGCAATTTATAGTGAAGGAAAGAAAGACGAAGAGCAGATCATTACAACATTTGGTAATCAACAAGCCAGATAACAGGCATGCACAATCAATTTACCAAATCTGAAAAGCAAACATATGCAACTCATACAACCTGAAGACATATATCCAAATCAAGAAAATAGTTTAATAGTATGGGATATTCCATTAGATGCAAAATTGATAGAGATGAAACAAACTTTTGTCAAATTCAGTAAGATCCAAAACATAAAAATGAGCATACAGAAAATATGGCAATTAGTAACAATTATGTACCAAGATCAGGAAAGTAAGATCAGAGTAGTCAACATGTGGAGTATACCACTCAAAGCAAACATGGTCAGAGTCTTTGATGCAAAGTGGAACCTCGAAGAAATGAAAAAGAGAGACAAATAGGCAGCAAAACTAATGAACCTGCCATTCAACACAATAGCCTTTGACTTGAAACACATCTGTTAACAAATCAATGTGAAAACATATTACATTTCAAAAACAGGAACATACAGAAGAAGAAAAGTTGCAGTAGTTAGCTTTGAGACAAAGCAAGATTTTCAAGAAGCCACATAACAAGATTTCACCCTGAAAGAAACAACAGTAACATAGGCACATATAGAAAACAAAATCTGTATCATATGTGACTCATATAAACATCTAGTAGTGAACTGCCCAGTCAAAGAAAGACAAGTATGATGAAAAACATACAACAGGAATCAGGTCAACAAATTTGACAAACTTTACCAAAAATTTAGACTTGTCAAAACCACAAATATCCAAAAAAACTTTGAACTTAACAAAGCCAACATCCAGAAGCAGAGACCAGAATCGTATACAGCAGCAGCAAGGCAACAACCCCAACCTACAGATGACATGACAGAAAATAGAGATCTCAAAGAAATAATGAAACACTTAAAACAAATACAATATGACATTCAAGAAATCAAGCAACAGGTGACAGAATTAGATAAAAGAATCATGAATTTAGAATACTATAAGAAGGATGAAATAGGTGCAATGGAGATAGAAGATATAGAGAAAGAAACAACTATGGAAGAGACAACAGGACACAAGGAAAGACTCAAGAACAGCACATACATATTACAAGAAATCGCAGACTTACAAACACACTAATAACAAATCCATGCAACAATTAATAACATTAACTAAATGATAAACAACTTGACAAACATAATCCACACATTAATTTCAGAAGAAACAAGACCTCTACTCAACAATAACATGAGAAACAACCAAAGCATAAAAACATATACCAAAAGCATCACAAATAATCTAACAACTTTATACAACTCAATTAATAATTATCCAGAGAAAGACATAAATACAACAAACCTATCAGATACAAATCAAACTGATATAGAACAAATTACAACACAAGAAGACCACTTAAACAACCAGGAAAAGAAAACAAACACAACAAACAAAATTTAGATAACAAAGTCAAAGAAAAACAAGAAAAATCAAAAGAAACCATACATCAAAAAAACCACAACACAAATCACAAACCAAGAATTACACATATAAAAAATAGCAACACACAATGTAAGAGACTTTAATGACCTTACCAAAAGAGCAACCTGGCTAACATATTGTCAGGAAGAAGATATAGACATTACAATACTCACAGAGACCCAGATCACAACAAATCAATACAAGCATTTGAAGTTCTAAAACTACCACACAATTTGTAGCAACAACAACAAAGGTGTAGGAATCATAATCATAATCAAAACAGAAATTGCAAATCACATTGGTCAAGTAGACAAATTAGCAGGCAGAACAATTTGCATAGATATGAACTACAAAGGCAACAAATACATTAGCATCATCAGAGTTTACATTTCCTCCAAAGGAAATCAAAAACATCTCTCAACACAAAAATGGATACAAGACAAAATCTGGGAAAAACATCACAAAAACTGAAATATTATAATAGCAGGAGACTTTAACACACTTCACAATCCAAGAATTGACAAATACCCAGCAGGCAAAAGCCAACTTCTCACATCACACACAATCAGAACTTTGACATAACTGAATCATATTGATATCTTCAGAGAGTTATGGCAAGAAAGAAAATGATATACATGGTCAAATACATGCACCTCAAAAACTAGAATAGACTATATTTGAATATCTCTGAACCAAAGTTGGAACCTTATTGAAGCAGAAATAGACTTCTCAAACATGCTAACACACAGTGACTATAACATCACACTCTGCAAAATCGAAATAATAGAGATTATTACAATACAAAAAAGATTTCCAGTATTCAAACAAAAAAATATTTTCAATATTCAGAACATCAAGACAAAGCAATAAAAGAAGTATAAAGAACAAATAAAAAAAAAATCAATAAGCAGAACCAAAAACCCAATATAATGAAGTATACGACAAACAAGCTATGGAATATAACATGGCAGACAATATGCAAATCAGCAAATCAACACCTAACAAAAAAGAAACCAAGGAGAAAAGGAAAAAACCCAATGCATCATACATCAATAAGACACAACAAGCTCACAGCACTTAGAAAGCCCAATACATTTGTCAGAAGATATTTTATTTTTAATCAAAAAACAGACAACAATAAAGATAAGATCATAATGACAATTAATAAAATAAAACAAGAAGGACAACACATTCGATCCCCACCATGGAAGGAAACAAACTCAAAATCAACAGAAATCGCTATATGAATTAAGGGAATAAAACAGACATATCAGATAATCAAAAGAACAATAGAACAAAAAACCAAAGTGAAGCAACAAGAACAGATCAAGAAATATATCAAACAAAGAGAGATCAGCTATACAGCAAACAAAAAAAAAATAATTAACTTTATTTTCAATTGTCAAGCAGAACAAATAGTTATAAACAAACTAATTACAAAAGAGTCAAAACTGATAGTTACTACAAATTTAGATGAAATCAAGGAAAAAGTATGCATCCATTTTCAACAACACACTCAAACTCAAACCAGACCTGCACAACAGGAATGGAAGCCATGGAAACAAGAATATGCATCAAGAGAAGATATCAAAGAGAAATGGTATTACAAAACAACCAAAACAGTAAAGTTCCCGAAATTAGCAGAATTCTCAAGAAAATATCCAATGACTCAGCCCTAGGAAGAATAGGCATCAGCTATTCACTCTTCAAAAATCTCGGACCAAAGCCATGGAAAGAATCGTCACACTTTTCAGCAATATACCTATAACAGAAGGATTTCAAAGAAATGGCAAGACAATATCATTTACCCAATTTCCAAAAGAACTGACTAGCAGCATAACCTTAACCTTGTCAGACCAATCTCTCTTCTGGAAACAATCAAGAAACTCTTTACAAAAGATCATTAACAACAGACTAGCCCTGGTGATAATAATATATTCAATTCTATCTGAAGGAAACTGGGCCAGACTCCCAGATAGCGAGATACAAGAACTAATCAGTATCTTGAATAATGTGCTGAAGAAAGCCAGTGAAAACAAAAAAGAATACTGGATCCTAAGCCAAGACATTAGCAAAACATATGCTCAATGAAACATAATGTACTAGAAAAAGCAATGAAATACATTAAAATCCTAGCTAAGATTATTGACCTAATTATGAATCTGCTAGAGAACAGAAAAAACCAAATCATTACATGCCATGGGCTAACAAGTTCATTTCAACCAGAAGTAAGAATTGACCAAGAAAACAAAATTTCCCCACTGCTCTGAAGAATATATTATGACCTCTCATAACCAAAGTAGAAAAATCATATTAGAATACAGTTTTACATGCAGAACACCAGCAGAGCAACCATGTAGATAGAAGCTACACTCCATCAAAATAGCATCAATATCATATATAAATGATACAGTCTGGATCTCCCAAAATTAACAAAATATGCAAAGAATCACAAAAACTGTAAAAAGCTTTGCAAAAATAATCAATCTCAAGATAAACTCAACAAAGGTAGCCTTGATCACAATCAATTCCAATCAAAACAGATCCATCAAAATGCAGGGACAAAGGATAACACCCAAGCCAAAAACAAAAGCCATTAGAATTCTGAGAGTATGGATTATGGCAACAGGTAACAAAAAACATCAACTAGACCTAATCAAACACAAAATCCAAACAACAACACAGACAATGTCCAGAAGTTATATAACGAACAAGCAACAAAGATATAAAATCAATTACGTCCTAAGCCTAGCAATAGAATATTTACTACAAGATATAGTAGCTACAGAACACACATATAACAAATGTGACAGCATTATTAGAATGAACTTCAAACACAAGAACAATCTTCCAACAACGAGTATCAATAGTAAAGTATATTGCCACTTTGGCTACAAACTCACAAATATAGAGGATAAACAAATCAAATTACATGCCAAGGCAACGATTAGAAATCTCAACAAGCAAAGTATTTGTGAAAAAATCACAAGAGCCAGACTACAACATCTCCAAAACAATGCTTAGACACTCCACAATATTCTAACAGAGGAAACCCAAATATCTAAAGAACACAAAAATAGATAGAGTCAAATCCTATGGCTTATCCAAACAAAGGGATACAACATCAAAACCAGCGAGCTATTCAAAAGAGTTAAAACCTTTCTGAAAAATAACTACCACATACTAGAAGACCTTATAGGTGCAGAATAGTTTAGCAAAAACAAACATAAGCTTCAGAAACACAATCTTATGTTTATTAAACAAGTCACAAATGCATATCAAACACATATAATAGAATGGAGACAAGTCATAACAATCATGAAAAGCAAGCTGACAGAAAGACAACCAATATAATTCAAAGAGATCAAAGACCAGTACAGTACACTGAACCTATCTACAAACAGATACACATGTAATATCATAGGACAAATACAGCCAAACCCCATATAACAGCTGGAAGCAATAAATAACACAAACCTCAAGAATATAAAATTTGTAACAATAATCTTAAACAACACAAAATACATAGGGAAAAGAAACAAATACACCAAACTGAAAAACAACCAAATCCAAGTATAACACTTTCTGAGAATAGCTGGTGACTCTTCTTTACAAAAATACCTAGGATGTAAATATGATAAACAGAACCAAGGCAATATGACATGCTTAAGAACAATAAATATTATGGATACAGTAGCCATTTCAATTAGCAAAACAATGCACAGCTCAAAAATATACAGTATAGTTCCAGGCCTACTCAATAGAGCCCAATTGTTACCATCGACAATATGCAATAACATGTAACAAATAGTGGAAGATAGACAAACCACCAATGGAACAATACAGGAGAAGACATCCACAAACAAAATGACAGCTAACAAGAACGGTATAGGCCACTCATAATAGGAGAAAAAGCAAAAGTAAAATTGGAAACAATTCAAAACACAACCAAAAATTGGGAAGAAGTAGAAGCGTATAGGCATAGGATGGATTACAAACAACAAAGTAACAAAAAAGAAAGTTGAATTCAAGGCAAACATTAAAAACTTTCCATTATTAGAACTTATAGTGATACTAATCACACTCACAACACTACTATGCAAAGCAAACATAAATATATTGTTAACGTTTCTTTTGGCGAGTCTATCACTTCTTCGGAGCACTCCTCATGTAACGTCGGTAAGTGTTTGGCTTTTTCACTTGAGGTGTGTGGATTGTTTAGCCAAGTTCCACTAACTCATTCCTTCTCTTTCTATTGTTGCTTCTCTTGACAGATCTTTACCACTTTTTCCTTTGTGGTTCCAAGCATCCTATTTGCGACAAGTACTAGATTAGGTAAGTTAATTAGTTTTACTCCTTTTGGCAACAACTATCACATGTCCTAATTAAGAAGGTTTTAATTTAAGGAACAGTTCTTCTTATTTGTATGGTCTCTTCCTTTCTTTTTGTAATTTTCTCTTCTATTTATATTGTAAGATGACATGAAAACTATATCTTCTCTTTTTTTTAAATTAGACTATCGATAGACTATCCTTACAAAAGAAGTTATGAAAAGTCTATTCTAAACTCTAATTATTGTGTCATTGCTTATGCAACCCCACTAATTATTTCTAATTTTCAGGGTATGCGATGCACCAGATCGTGTACTGTGGTTACGCCCCCTGCAATTTTCCTGCTAACAATATATACAGACAGCCAAGCAGCAATTCAAAGTATCAAAGAAAAAGGGAAGGAGAACAAAAAATACATACATACATCAAACTGGATGACAGTACAATATATCAAAAACACTATCAAAGAAAGGATAGGCAGAACAACACTTACTAAGATCAAAGGCCATGCAGGAATTACAGAAAATGAGATAACAGACAAGCTGGCGAAAGAAAAATCACAAACACAAAGTACACAGGAACTTCAAATTAATAATCAAATAAGAATTATACAAACTACTATATGATATGGGAGAACGAAGCACTAGATACAAATTTGGATCAGTTCATCAAAGACAACAAAGTGCAACATGGCTCACAAGATATGTAATACAAAACAGACATATGGCATGGATAGCCAATATAATGGAACAGGAGATAGACTGAAAAGCATCCTATGATATCCAGCAATCAATCAAACTGACAGGTAACAATACAAATAGACAAAATCACAAAAGCAGAAATTTTAGATACAAATTACTTAACGAAGAGCTCCCAGTCTTCAAGAAAATAACAGCAAGAAAATCTAGTCTATACAGTCAAGCCAAATGCCCTATTTGTAGCAAAGAAAAAGAGACGTTCAATTATATAATACACAAACATTGGAAAGAAAAGATCACAGAATAATATAACAAAGCCATAAGACAAGAAACAAGCATATGGACAAAACAAAATAAAAAACAGAGAAACAACACAGGAAACACCAAGTGCATGACTCAAAATAACAAGAACACTCATAATCAAGGCAATATTCATAAAAGAAACCACAAACTACATCAAAAGCAGAGTCAGATCACAAATCAAACACACATGTGAAGCAATCACAAAACACATAAAGAAAGCAATGCAAACAAGGTGGAAGAAAAGATGTAAGAAAACCATCGAATGGAAAAAGAAAGAAAGAATCACAGCAGCAGAAAAAAAAAAGCTCAAAAGAAAACAAAAACATAATTATAGACAAGAGCAAAGGCTGCAATAATTAAAAAAAGAAAAGAAGGCACAGATATGGGAAAAGAAAATAAAAACTTGGTTCTTAAAGTTTAGATAGAACAATGAATACAATAACTATACAAATATTCTTTTTACTAACACTAATAAAGCTTTGGCACATTAGTTTTGATCTCTTTTCTCTAGCCTAGGCTAGGAAATAAATTAAATAGCTTAAAGCCAACATTTGGTCACATCCAATGTAGCTTGATATATAAAACTGAATTGTGGTTATAATATTAACAATCATGTATTTGTGTAAACAACAATCAATAATAAAGTATACCAGGCAAGGCCATGCTAGTGTTTAAAAAAAATACCATCTTTGTCAGAATGTTAACATTTATATAAATAAATACTTTGGTAAAGATAATATAGAAAATAAAGATAAAATAAAATAGAAATATTCTAGAAATGGTAAAGGTTGAATAGGTACAATAAATATTAAAGATACAATAATAGATCTTTAATACAAAACCATTCTAGAACAGCTAACATTTCAAGGGTCAATGCTAGTAAAAATTAGACAAGGAATATTTAAGATCTTGGATGAAAATCAAGTGTAACAATTTTCTCTCACTAATCTATAAGTTCTACGAATTTAATCTTGTGTTAAGGTAATAAAATTAGAATGTAACAATTTCTAATTAGATGAAGGGTAGTGAATCGAATCCTATAAATTTGATGGATTTCAACTTTGCTAAAAAGGTAATATGTGCATATAGAAGCTGAAGAATAATATTTAGTGATTTGTAAATTTAATTAGGATCTTTGTGTTTGGCTGGAAGTTGTTTCCAATAATTTTTCAAGATAATAAGCATATATAAGAGTCACAATCCTGTTTCTTCTTCATAATACCCTTTATAACTTCTGATAAGTATTCAAAAGTTATATTTCAGTAGTCTGCAGAAGATCATAGGGGGCTAGTACAACATCTATATCTTCAAAAGTGTTTTGCAAAAGATCTTTAATCAAAATAGTATAAGCAGCTATAAGATTATTAGTTGCATGTTAAAAATGTTCAAATTTGAAAAAGGAGCATATTGTTTGGAGCAGCTGTCCTTTTTATAGATTTTTATGAATATTTTTGAAGTTTTACCAGGTTGTGTATTTAAGATCTTTTTGAAAATCATTTGGCAAATAATTTTCAATCCAAAATTCTTCTAAAAATGTCAAAAGAAAATTGCTTGTCAAGAAATGCTCGCCTAACTCACTCTGGTCTGAGGGATTTATCCTGGAAGACAATTGTATTACTTCAAGAAAAAGTTAGGATCTTGAAATGTCAAGTTTGTCAAGAAGAAAGATTTAGGGCTTTGGAACCAGAGGTGAAAAGATTAAGAAGAGAATTGAAGATACTTTGGAATACATGCTCCCTTCACAACTTCAATAGAGAGTTAGAGTTGAAGAACTTGAACTTGAGGAACAGAATATCTCGTCTGGAAGGTTTTCTTCATCTGTTGGAAAATCCTGTACCTGTTTCCTTTGATAGATCTTTTTCTTCTTTCTCGTTTAACTAGAGGTTTGTTTCTTATTTTGTTTTTTTTTATATTTTTCTTCTTCAAAGCTCGTGAATTAATTGTGAGAGATGCAATAGTTGCTGAGTATACTTTGTAAACTGGCTGTAATGGACAGGAAGCACTCTGTGAGTCACTTCCATTACACTGCATCTTTCACTTGTTTCTCTAGTTTCTTCAGGTCTTCTTTTCATTCAAGAGTTCAGTAATACTTGTGCTGGGTTTGGTACAAGTGAAAGACTGGATTACTTAAGCATCTGCATCCTCGTTGTGTAACCTGGGTACTAAACTCTTTAGTAGCTAAAGGATGCTTCTTTCTGTATATACTATATATGCTAGGTTTCTATGTTGATCAGTCAAAATATGGTTTTAAGAAAAAAATATTAATAGGAGTGGCAAGAACTTTTTCTTTTATTGTTCTAAGCTTGAAGACATCATTAAGCAAGGCATTATAAATATAAAAAGGTTCTTTTCATTTTGGTTTCAGTTTTTCTGTAAATTATTTGTCTCTATTGATATCATACATTAGCACCTTATCTCCAATTTTGAATTTCTTGTACTTTGTTACTTTTTGATCAAATCTTCATTTTTGTCTTTGTTGTTTCTTGTGAATATTTCTTCTTGCTTGTTCCTATTGTGTGAAAGTTTTTTTAATAAAGTATACAATCAATTAAGAATTGTTAGTTGCAATTTTTCATCCATGTTTGTTGTAAGAATTTGAGGTTTTCATCTATAAAGTAAATAAAATAGTGTCATTTTCGTAGAAAATTGTTTTGATATTCTATAAGCAAAAAGTACTGGCAAAATGTATTGGTCCCAATCTTCTTTGTCTTCAGTTAACTTTGCAAGAGACTTATACAAAGTTTTGTTAAATCATTCAATCAATCCATTGGTTTAAGGATGATATAGTATGGACAATAAATGTCTTATCTCAAATTGTTTGAGTAATCCATCTACTATTTCATTTTGAAAATAAGTTTCTTTATTAGACAGGATTTGTTTTAGGTATCTATGTCTACAGATAATAACTTGATAGATAAATTCTACTACATATTTATTAGTAGCTTTAGAGATTGCTTCTGCTTAAGGCCATTTGGTGAAGTAATCTGTTGCAACAATAATATATTTGTTTCCTTGTTTGATGATTAGTAAAGGTTTTATAATGTCTATTTCAATTCTGAAAAGGGTTTCTCCAATAGAAATGGAATACAAGAGTCCTGGTGTTCTGTATCTTTCACGTTTTTGGCATTGGTCACATGATCAGATTTAGTCTTTAATACTTTCGAACATCTGCAATCAGTAGTATTGATCATGAATTTTCTCAAAGGTTTTGTCTATTCTCAAATATGCACCAGTAGAATGATTGTGTATCAAATAAAGCATTGCTTCAATTTCATGTTTTTGGATAACTTTGAATAGTTGATTTTGGGTTTTTTTTCTTCTGTCTTTCTTATAAAGTTGATTACTTTTAACTTCAAAAAATTTGCTTTGTGATTGTAAATGTTTTTGTTAATAGTTATTTATATTTGTTGATAGTTTGTTGTTAAGAATATAATTTTTCAATTGGCAATATTGTTATGTTTCCATGTTGTTAAAGTTTGGATGTCAGGATACCAGCTATCTGGTCTGGATTCTATATTATATCAGATTTCTTTGATTGTTTATTCAAAAAAAAAGGTTTTAATAGTAAGTGATAGGATTAGTATCTATTCACCAGATTGAATTGCAAAGATCATTTTCAAAATAGTTATTGAATTTTTCTCTATATCATTTGGAAGATTGTTTAAGTTTTGGTAATTACCAGTAATCGTCAGA